GTTCCCATGTTCTGACCGCCCGCCTCCTATGGATTGCTGCGCGGTAGAGACGAGAATCTCGCGCTTTTTAAGTGCGAATGCACTTGATAAGCGACCCTGAATCCGCCATCCGCGGTGCGCCTTTTCTTCTCTCCTAGCAAGAGCGCGAGGAGCGGAGAGGAGCGTCTGTAGCAACGGCGTAGCGACGTCACACACCACATGATTGCGCGTGCTCTGCCCTCCTCTCCGTGGCTGCGCGCCCACGACTTGCTCGAGATCGGCAAGTCGTAGGTATGGATCCATCGCAGGCATCAAACTAGACTGCAATACCTCCAACAACGAGTACAACGCAATCGAATGCGAGCATTGCACGCGTCGTTGAAGACGTCGTACCGGTTGAAGACAAGGCAGCGCGGCGAAGGACCTGTGATGCCGAGCGCAAGCGGGCGAAGCGGGCCGCGGAGATAAACATTATTATAGTGCGAATTTAGTCTCACATATACGCGTAAACTCACCAAGATTTCCCTAGAGGGTCTACTGGTTCCTGTGAATCGCAATGTGATCACACGGGGCAGCTTACGTTAACTCACTGGCGATTGCCAACAAATTTTAACTTTACTCCCCTTCATAGCATCACCCCGTGCATTCGCACTTAACCATGTTCCCCCTCAGGGAAATGCTTGGGAGTTTTTTTTTTTTTTTCCACGTGTCGCTATGACCTGGCAATGCTTCTCCACTTGGTGTGCGTTGCCCTCTCATAAAAGTATGCCCGGGCCGCCACCGCGCCTTCACTGCGGGGCGTTGTGATTGGTTGCAGCAAAGTGGCGTCGCCGGGCAGGCAGCTAAAAATTGCTGCCAGAGCTATCGCCCTTACCGCCTGGTTTTCCTCCGGCATTCGCCGCCTGCAAAGGAGGTTTTCTCGCTTTAAGGACGTGTTCACACTTGAGAAGTGAAGCGAAAACGAAAACGTCAGAGCGACCGGAAAACCACGACCACGTGCGTCGATGTTGCTCACATTCATTCTGCCCCATCTCGCCACCGATGCCGTTGCTACCTCGACAATAGTTCGATTTTGCCTGCTTTCTGAGAACTAATGTTTCTGAGAACTAATGTAAGAAATAGCTCGCACCTTTTCAAACGTTGTTTCGGGAGATACGCGAGTTGAAACGATACAAGCGAACGCAGCAGCACAAAAACGATACAAGCGAACTTGTTGTACAGAAAAGAGAGACACGTTGGGGCATGCCGGCTCGCTGCAGTTGCACAGTAGACTTCAAGAGTTCTCGGCAATCTTAATTCACACCACGCTCTGAAGGAACGCGTCCGCTTACAGGCCGTCAAGCTTCGTCGTGCTTCACGGGTATTTTGAGATTTGAGTTGACGTGAGCCATCGCCAATGCTTCTGCTGCCATGTTGAATCTGCGGCCAGCTGGTTAGATCCCGCGGTTGGCTATAGCGCCGCCAAAGCCATGAAACGGAAACTGGATCAGCTTTCACGTAGCACAAAAGTCTATCTAGGAACAGTTCGTGGGCGCCGGCTGCGTGGCGTGGTTTTCCGGCTACTTGGGTGGCGAAACGAGCCAGTTTCTAGAGAGTTTCGCCACTTTCCCTCTCTTCGAGGCCAAGTGTGAACGCACCCTTCGTGTTGCCGCATCGCCACTTCGGCCGCCCCGCCTTCGGTGTGAACAAGATTTCAGTATGGCCATGTTATGATCAGGAACCGGCGTCAAGATTGTGACCCCCTCCTCCTTCAAGGCGATTTCACTAGAGACCGGCCTCTTGTGTAATAACCTTGAAGAGAGAGAGGGTTGCAGTTTTGTCGACGGTTCCATGTCACCGATGACAGGTTGTCTTGCTCGCCACTAGATTACGCGAGAAGAGGATGTGGTTGCTCTCGCTCCTGCTACATCGCGCTGCAGGCAGCCGCAGGAGCGTGCAGGCCATGCGTTCGCGTTTTTCTTTTCATAAAGATTGACAGCGTACAATCAAGCGAAAGGAATTATTGCAAATCTGCGAGACATGTTGTTGGTACCTGAATGTGGTACTGACACATGTTGTTGGTACCCTTGCCAATGCGCAAAACGCTGCCTCTGGCAACGGAAAAGAGGCAAAGTTTAAGTAAGAATATTTGGAGGCGCTGGTACTTTTGTGGCTGTGAGCGCAGTCAAGTGTTAATTTTCATATTTCGCGTGCTTTTTTTATCCACGGAAAAAAAATGAGCACGCAGTTAGTACGTTGTTTAAAGTATCACAGACAGATGTCGTTTTACCATGCGTACATCTGCCTTATTGACGTTTTGATAACTAGGTGAGTACTTTTGAGCTAAAATATGATTATTATTACTTATTTAATGGGCAATAACGAAATAGTTAGTAGTCGATACTACAGTACACTGGGAACAATATGCACAATACCTTTGCTTCACGTAAAGCCGTTGTCCCGCCGCGGGGGTGCAATGGCTAAGGTAGTCGGCTGCTGACCCGCAGGTCGCGAGATCAAGTACCGGCTGCGGCAGCTGCTTTTTCGGTGGAGGCGAAAATGCTGTAGGCCCGTGTGCTCAGATTCGGGTGCACGTTAAAGCATCCCAGGTATCAATGAATCAGGGAAGGCCTGACGACAGGTGGCCCACTAGCCGGAACGGTAACGAAACCACATTTTTGTTTGTGTGCCCTTCTTCTCTTCATATATATATATATATATATATATATATATATATATATATATATATATATATATATATATATATATATATATAGATAGATAGATAGATAGATAGATAGATAGATAGATAGATAGATAGATAGATAGATAGATAGATAGATAGATAGATAGATAGATGAAATAGATGATCAGAGTTTCTTCAGGCTACCGTAATAAAAGTTATAAACTTCGAGAAAAGTGCAGTATAGGAAACAAAACAATAAAATATTTATTTAATCCTAACAGTTTCGGCTGGTGGACCAGCCTTCTTCGGAGGATCTAAGTGAAATGGTACAAGTTCCCGTAGCAGAGGGTCACCCTAACAGTTTGAAGACCCTCAAAAACGATCAAAAAAAAAATGGGCGAACGAGGTAGCAACAGACAACAAGAAGCAGAAGAAGAAGAGGAACTAGAAAGGAGCGACGGAGAGCCGCCGGAAACGAGCGGGTAATTCTGGCATTGTTACTTGTACCATTTCACTTAGATCCCCCGAAGAAGGCCGGTCCACCAGCCGAAACTGCCAGGACCAAATAAATATTCCATTCTTCCGCCTCCCACACCGCACTATTCTCGAAGTCTATAACTTTTATTACGGTAGCCGGAAGAAGAAACTCTGATCATCTATTTCATCTATATATATATATATATATATATATATATATATATATATATATATATATATATATATATTTGGAAGTCTTCCTGGATTCGGGTCGAGTTATAAGTCACCAGAAGAAGCGAACGAGCAAACGAAAAACGATGCTTCACTGCCAACGCCACGGCCGGCGACCGGCCTTCGTCATATATATATATATATATATATATATATATCTGTGTGTGTGTGTGTGTAATTCAGAGAATTGTAAGAAATAAGTTTTGGACACGTCGAAAACAGTCTGGTTTGTTAACGTTTCGACCGTGGAACCGGCCTTCGTCTGAATAAGAAATGTAGAAATGTGACAGTTTTAGTATTCTGAAGAAGGCTGGTTTTGTGTTGCCTAGATGGCGCCTAGGTCTTTAGACATCCACGTAAAACTCTGTCGCGTATAATAAATATTCTATTAGCACAGGTTCGAGCGATTACTGCTGAACATGTCTACCTTAATCTCAAGGTGCTACTCTCCTAGGATTATGGTAGGACATTCATAATATTTTGATATTTCCTTTCTTTTGCCTTGGCGAAAAATCGCAGTATGCTTTATGTTTAATGTTGTTTTTTGTAAAAAGCACAAAATTTTCTTCAGTAATATATTTTTTCTGTTTTTCCTTTTCCAACAATAACATAGCAAAATACTTCGAGAGGCAACTAAGCGAAAGCTTTGCCACAAAATTGTGGCAAATTTGAGAAAAAGAGAGGGTGTTGACTCGTATTGTGGCATAATTTTCGCAATTCAGTATTTGATGTAAAAATATGGCTAATGTAGCGATGCATAGTACCCTTAGTAAAAATACATGAAGTTTCAAAAGAGCAGTTTTGGATTTAAGAAAAAAGTTATCTGGAAAACCACAAGGTAGCAGAAAGCCTGCCTTTGCCTCACCTTCATGGCATAGCACGTCAGTGCAGGGTGTCAGCGGGGCTTTTCGCAACGAATAATGCGTGTCACGCATGTTTGTCACTTGTTTTAGTGGTACTGCCAAATAAAACGTCAGGCGTGGTTGTGGTGCTAAATTTATATACTGGTATCTTCTCCCTTGGTTCACTAAAGGGCAGTTTATATTCAACCGCTTCAAATCCCATGGCGCAGAACAAAAATTCAATTGCTGGCCTGCAATACAGTGATTGCGCGTTACATTTAGCTACTTATAAATAATACGCATGTTCCTAATAATAAATAAGCTTGTTACTTCGCTGTGTCGTAAGCGCACGCCCTTTTCACAAACGGAAACTCTGCAGCGAGTGCAGAGACCTTTGTGCGCTTGGTAACTACCCCATAATCTTTTCGGGCGACAACCAAAGGTGTATGATTCTCCCCACCACGAGATAAGGGCCAACAAAGTCTATTCAAATAGGTCGCAAATTCCTGTCGAAAATTTCTTCAGAAGCCGTGTCCAGCGACACTGCAAGGCGAGTTTAGGGGAGTTGTGATTCAAGCGCGACTATGTGTAGAGGGAACTAACACTGGTAGTGAAAAACCCAGTTTCATTCAAAGTCGAAACAATAGCTATGTTTTGCAGATGGCATTTCTTTCCCCCAACACTGCTATGTAGCTGTAAATAGCAAATAGTTTATGACAGTTTTTATTACTACGAAAATTTGTGTCTTTAGCGCCCTCTGGCCATTCTATTATTACTCAGTGCAGCCCTTGCACTCCATGGGAAGGCACGCTCGTAAAATTCGTCTGCGATGACCCACTCCCTCACGTGTTTTAGTGTTCTGCACTTGCTAGCATTCTCTGCTGTGCGCGAAATTATAAGGTGCGTTTTATCGTTGGTGAGCGTCTTGAGTGAAGTGTCCATCGGGCAGCGGAACGGTGCGGAATACATTTGGCGCCGAGTGCTTTCGTCGGTTACGGCGGAAATGATGTGCTGTGCAAGCATGCTGTAGCAACAAGCGTATGCCTAGCGACCCATGTCTTCTTGAGAAGAAACCAGGGCAATGGTTTGTAATTTAGTACTTGCTGTACTTGCATCCACCAGTGTTCCTGCAGCCATTTTTCTTTTTTCGAGCATGCAGTGCCTACTATTGTTCGCGTTATTGGTGAGCAAAGTGCCATAATATCTCTCATGCTACAATTGGTATGTCCGCATTGGCATACGTAGCGGTAGTTTATCGGAGGATAATGCAAAAAAAAATTGCAACGCAAGAAGTGTCTGAAGATTTCCTTGTGCTTATTTCCATTTTCTTGCAGTGTAAAAAATTCGAGTTCTTGTGAAAATTGCACACGGCTGAAAGGTCATAATTTTGGCGTTCCTAGGCGTCATTTCTTTCTGTTAAAGCTGAAGAACACAAGCTTTGTGCATGCAAAAGAACCTGCGCATATGGGATGCAAATAAGCAACGCGGCAGAAGCGACAGGTAAACGCTGTTTGTTGCTTTATTCCATCTGCTTTATGCAAAATAAAAGTTGGGACAATAAGTTTCCTTGTAAAACTGAGGCAAACTTAACGGTAGTACACTAAATTATCATTATCTACTCATCATTCGGTGTTACGTTTGCCTGCGTTGACTTGAAGCACACTCGTGAAGGACTCGCCGGTGATTGCCTTAGCGCGACTCCGCAGCGATCAGAGTCTATGAAAATCAACCTGAGTTCAAATTTTGTGCTAGTGCACACAAAATGACGCCCATTTTTCACTCGCTATTGCGTCATATCCGTTTTATTTTTTGTTCTGCCGAAAGTGTTCCCTCCTCAGAGTGATGGTGCTAAATAAGCCCCATGAGCAGCTGACAAGCCGTCATTTTGTCAACTCAATGTATACTTCAGTTATGTCGTGAAATATTAAGACAATGTGTAATAAATATCAGAAGCGAAGCAAAACACCCCTAACTGCATTGCAGGTCACCTACTGCATTTTAAATGGGCCTCTTGGGGCTAAGAAGCGGTTGAATTAAACTTATTGTTTGATGGTCCAAACGAAGGTAGCGTTCTATAAAGCTTGAACTATAGCTGTTTCACACGTTTTATATAGTATTATTACTAAAGCAAGTGACAAGCAGTTGTATGACATGCAATATTTCCTGACGAAAAACATTGTTGGAAGCGCGCGCTGACGTGGGCTTGATATCCAGTGAACATATGGCAAAGGCAGGCTTTTCTTAACTTTGAAGTTGTGTGGATGATTTTTTTTTTCGCCCTTAAAACGAAGACTTCGCTTTTGAAACTCCCTGCATGTCTTACTAACAACCCGTATATTGAACAGAATATAGGTCATATTTTGCTTGGATAGCTATAAATATAAATCCAAATAATACCTTTCTGAATTTGTCACAATATTCTGGCAAACATTTTGCCTCATTTGATCACGAACTACTTTGATAATTTATTATAGGAACATATGAAAGAAAAAATGTGACTTTACTAATATACAAAAGTGGATCTTTTTAAAAAATGCTAAGCATGCTGCATATTCCAATTTTTCGCAAAGGTGAAGAATGAAGAAAGTGAAAAATAAGATGAGTAATGTATCATAGTTCTGAAAGAGAAGCGCCTTCAGATAAATAAAAAAGTTTTTTACGTAGTAGTTGCTCTTTTATAAGTTATTTAGCGCGATACAATTTCGCTTGGATACCCAAAATTGTAAGCACCGTCTAGGCAACACAAAAATGTTTTGCGAAATATTACTCCCCAGTAACTCCTTGTCACATTCACATATACCTGCACAATTTTCAGAGCACTATTTGAGATGGCTGCAAATTGACCAAATAAATTTTATACATATTGACCTATATATATATATATATATATATATATATATATATATATGTGTGGTGTGTGTGTGTGTGTGTGTGGTGTGTGTGTGTGTGTGTGTGTGTGTGTGTGTGTGTGTGTGTGTGTGGTGTGTGCTATTCATGTCGGATAGCATGTTGCTTAACCTGGTTGATTTTCTTGTGCTGGTCTTGCTGGGGTCGGAAATATTTGTCTTTCTGTGTATCTAACGAATTAAGCTGTTCTGACGCATGCATGTGCACAGAAGGGCCAGAGCCTGGTTGACTATCTTCCGAGTTCCTCACCTCTATATCAACCGTAGTAAGCATGCGAGATGCGAGGTGAGCGTTGTGAGCAACTTAAGAGCCAAGCGATGGAAACGCAGGAGGTGGTCCAAGTGCGCGAGACAGACAAAAAACAGGGTGGCTCCCTAACGTTAGTGATACGGTGAAGTGATGATGTAAAGGTTGGTTTTCGATCAAGCAGTTGCAAAATACGGTGCAGTATTTTGAAGGGTGCACTCTTCCTGCAAGTGAGTGAAGTGAGTGAAGGGTGCACTCTTCCTGCAAACAGATCTGGCTGCCTTTCAGTGAGAGCGTGCTTTGACTGGTCTTGTTTTAAAAGCCGATTCATTCTTGGTGTCCCAATGCGTGAGCAGTGCTTTTGATTGTGGTGACCGAGTGCGATAGTTTCCGCATTGTTAGAAATAATAAAGTATTCACCATAGTCGCAAAAACGGACGATCATCCTTTCTTTGTTATTTTGCCATGACTCATCGTCCTCGAATATGTGGGTAAGGTGAAATTTAAAGGCGTCACGCGGGATGTAGTCGCTGAAGTTCGTAACCCTCTCCCGTAAGCATCTCGTGTGTGTGTGTGTGTGTGTGTGTGTGTGTGTGTGTGTGTGTGTGTGTGTGTGTGTGTGTGTGTGTGTGTGTGTGTGTGTGTGTGGTGTGTGTGTGTGTGTGTGTGTGTGTTAGCACATTACCAAGTAAACATAAAACGTGTTATATTGTTGTCAACTGCAAATCATCAGCATCAAGTGATTTAGTTTTATTTGATTGCTTGAAGACTTCGCATACTTCACTTTTGTTTGTTGGGTCGCCAAAGATACTTTCCCTCGTGTCACTACATCTGGCGACAAAATCCTCTTTATTATAGTACAACGCAACTGCATTTATGACTTAGCTATTAAAATGATTCGTTAGTGCTGCGCCACTTCAATCTTTACCCCCAAAGGTTATAAACTCAGACAAAGCGGTTTTATTATCATGACAGAGTATGGTATTAATTAGTTCTAAGTAGCACTTGAACGTTGCCGATTGGTATATTGGAAAATACGCTTTTTTGGCTCATTGAAGTGCAGCGTTTAATATATTTCGAAGCTTTTTTGGATTCTACCCTGCCGCGGTGGCCTAGTGGCTAAGGTACTCGGCTGCTGACCTGCAGGTTGCGGGATCGAATTCTGGCTGCGGCGGCTGCATTTTTGATGGAGGCGGAAATGCTGTAGGCCTGTGGGCTCAGATTTGGGTGCACGTAAAGAACCCCAGGTGGTCGAAATTTCCGGAGCCCTCCAATACGGCGTCTCTCATATTCATATCCTGGTTTTGGGACGCTAAACCCCACAAATCGATCATCAGCTTTTTAGATTCTTTCAAAGTTTCAGCAGAGCGCGTACTTAAAGAAGTGTAATAGCAGATGTTTTTACGTGTTATCACTGTAAAATGTTCCCAAGTGACCCAGGGTTTTCTTGTCTTTCTTGAAAATTTTAACATTTTGAAAGGAAAATGTTTTGCGTAAATACGTTGTAAATTTTGTATGAACGCATCTTACGCGTTCTCCCCATTTGCTCCTCAAAGAGAGATGATCAGCACTGATAGGATTAATCGAGCGTAAATTCTCCAAGACATCGAGAATAAATATGGCGTATGGTATACAGTACTTGCCGCGTCCCTCTATCCAGAGGTTCGCAAAAATAGGTCATAAACACGAGGCAGGGGCCACTGATATCAGATGTTATTGTGCCGGCGCTCCTTCTAATTTCTGCATCGTGACTTACTAACGATTTCACCAATGAACTCTGTTTTAACTGCAAGAATTCTCCTTAAAGGTCGTAAGCTCCTATTTAATTTGCTTAAACATATAAATAATAAGTGCTGTACCAGTACATACTTAAATGAGCCTCTCTCAATTTTTTTCCAACCACTTGAGCACTATGATTTGGACTTCGAGTGAATTCTGCGCTCTATGTGTCTTATGCGGAATGTCTTTCCATTTATGTTATTTGCAGCAACCTGGAGTCTCCGGGGCGGTGCTGGAACCATTTTTATTACGTTTTTCATCCATATTGCAGTTTGGCTTGAATATTTTGTGAGAAGATTGAATAAAAGAAGCCATGCGAGATGAATTGCTTTGGCGTGTTGAGCTTGTAGGACAATTCAATATTCCACATATGTTCTGCTTGGGCCTGTCGAAAGGAATTTGCCTTGAGCGAAACGAGATCCATTCAATTGGCTTGGAAAACTTTGAAACCTATAGAGTGAACATATTGAGACAGGCGCTTTGCCCATTTTCGTTCGTTCTGCTTACTTTCTAAAATACACCTTTTATTTTGTTGTCTGAGTCAAAATTTATGGCCTAACTGCATGCGAAAAAATTGCTTTTTCCTCCTTGTTTTTGCTTTGACAGACCGTATAATAAATTTAATATTGCCACGGGGCTTTCATTTCAATGTCATAATGTCACGTGGATGAAAGGAGCAGACTTTATGTTGAGATGAAACTGTTTTTTCGGCCAAACTTGTGGTCAGAAAACCGAAGGTCAGGTTATAGCTACACACGGGCCTTAATAGCGGCAAAGAGAGCGTCACCGGTCGATCAACTGACAAGCAGTGAAGTACGTTGGCATTTATACAGGTGTCATAGAATATTCCAGTCTTATCACTGGGCGTCATGCAAGCTCTCGAATAATTTCGAGTGTTTGCGAACCTTTTGGAACAGTGAGGCGAAGTTGGCGCTGATCATTCTTGACAGGCTTTGTGGACGAAAACTGATTAAAACTAAAGTGAAGGTAACAAATAACCATGGCATTGCCCCCTTCTAAAAAAGCATCGTCGCGTTGCCTAAAACTAGATACGAGGAAAAGATGCATACAACAAAAAATAACAATAAAGTTTAATAAACACGTACAAACAAGCACAATGATTGATTGATACGTGGGGTTTAACGTCCTAAAAATACCATATGATTGTCAGGAATGCCGAAGTGGAGGGCCCCAGAAATTTAGACCACCTGGGGTGTTTTAACGCGCTACCAAATCTGAGCACACAGGCCTACAACATTATTACCTACATAAAAAATGCAGCCGCCGTCACCGGGATTCAATCCCGCGACCTGCAGGCCAGCAGCCGAGTACCTTAGCCCCTATAGACCACCGCGGCGAGGCATCGTAACAGTTGAGAAACGGCAAACAATACGGTCGTGCAATGAATAATGCGCATGATACGGCTTGAGGCGCACAACGTGGACGATTTCAGGTCATGCAGGGCACCGTTGAGGGTTTGTTATGCTATCGAACTACCTTTTACGTTCCGAAGTACCGCCGCAGAAATTTTAAAGACTATAGTCTTTCTTGGGCTACTTCGACGAAACAGTTTCGGTTTTTGTCTGTTCATCTGTCTGTTTGTCCGCCGCAACGATACTTCAAACGGCACCGAACGATACCTTAAACGGCCAACCCCTTCTGCAGCGCCCACCAATATTGCTCAAGTTTCAGAGTTTATACTTGTGCGATTGCCAATTAAAAAGCAATTATTGCGCATATCTGAGGCACCATAACAGTGCGTCAATATTCTGTATGTGTGTTTTTATACTAGGCATACGTAAGTAATTCTAAGTAACATAGCATTTATCACGCTGCGCTGACAATGCAACGCTATGCTCAAAGTGGCAATTGTTTCCAACGCTTTGCTAAGACGACATGGTGGTGGCACCTGCCTGTCGCTTTGGGTTTTACACCTTATCGCCCCGAGACAGGCGCGCACGCCTTCGTTTTTGAAGACTACTGCCAGATAGCACTCGTATATACGTGCCTCAATGTGCTCGTTCGCCTTCGCTGCACAGACCCAGACACTCTAACGCAGCACCTGCAGAATATAATTCACCAATTTTCTTGTGTAGGACATCAAATAAACGTTTTGATCACTCTCTCCAGACGCAAGACTATCGTCTTTCGACGACATTTGCAGTGAAACGTGCAGATACGGGGCTGTCAGGCTGGTATTCCACGAAGATTTGTTCATGAAGAACACCAACTCAGACACCAAACCAACTTAATACAACAAACGACCATCTGGGGTTCTTTAACTTGCACTGACTTCGCACAATACTCGGGCTTCTTCAATTCTGTCTTCGTTAAATTGCGGCCGCCGCGGCCGAGACAGGATTCATGACATTTGGGTCTGAAACCGAGCACTGCAACCACCGATACCTTGAGGTGGATAATACAACAAAAGCAACGCACAATATTAGTCACGCTCATGAGGATGGCTTCGTGGGCTTGTTTGAAATGAAATATAAAATGCTACAGCACACATTACGGCAGGGATGACAGAAGTGTACACAAGACAAGCGCTGAACTGCAACTCACACTTTATTTCCTAATGGTGGAATCTCATCTGGACCCAACAACCCAATGAAAGCAACGTGAGGCCAAGCAAAACAAAGGATGAAGTAGGCAATAGACCATCATTCATGATAATTTTGTTGCACACTGCCTACGTCATGTCGACGTTCACAAATTATATCTTCAAATTAGAGGGTTACTGAAGAAGTGCTCATGCACTTTTCCTTGTTGCGATCAATGTATTAAGATTATATTTCTTCAGGTGTCATCATATCCTTTGCTTTTCTGACTACTGAGCACTGCACTAAATGTGTGTCACAAGCACAACTCCTGCAGTACAATGACAAGTGGCCGGAGATGCCTGTTTTCCTAAATAAATTTTTGTGCTCCCTGAGCATGTCGTTCATACACATACCCGATTGTCCACTACAGCTTCTACTGCAGCTCAAGGGCAGCGCCTTCTTCACAATTAACAAACTGCCCCGCCATGGTGGTCTGGTGGCTAAGGTATTCGGCTGCTGACCCGCTGGTCGCGCGATTGAATCCTGGCTGTGGTGGCTGCATTTTCGATCGAGGAGGAAATGCTGTAGGCCCTTGTGCTCAGATTTTGGTGCACGTTAAAGAACCCCAGGTGGTCAAAAGTCCCAGACCCCTCCCCTATACGGCATCTCTCATATGGTGGTTTTCGGACGGAAAATCGCACACATCAATCAAATCAACAATTAAGAAACCGCTTTCTGTGAATGTTTTTGCGCATTTGTTTTTTCTTTGACATCAGCATTAACAAGCGAACAAAGTTTTCACAGTTACTTCGGCGTAGAAAGCTTACGTCTACACTATCGCGCATGCCTATATTTTTCATATTGTGCTGACCTTATGTATGTTTCACACTTGAACAAACATTTCCTTCTATTTCTTTATCAGCTGGCTCCACTGGTCAGCACGCTTCATCACTCTGAGCAGGCCACGTGCCACCGAGTGCAGCATATGAAGCGGGTAACCCGCCGTGACCAGGTGGGAAATTAAAGCAAGGAAACTACTGTCCCTTAATGCGAACAGGACTTCCGCAAAGAATTTCACGAAGAAGACGCGCAAATGCTCCTTTGAAAAAGCTTGGTGTAACTTGAGTAGTACAAGAGCAACGGTTTGTTGGACTCTGGCTCATACTACCAGAAAATATGCTCTACTGTAAAATTTATCTTACGGTCAAGAAACTTAAGAGATTGATCCCTTGGTATTTCGTGCACCAACTGCAGTAGCCTAATCCAGTCGCAAAATACGGCCAATACTTGTGAAGGAGACGTTCAAAAAGTGCTCAGAATCAGTTTTAAAATAACGAGGTAATCATCGACATACCTGAAAAGATGTTTTACATTCAAACATATCACACTTTCTGTAGTCCACAAAAAGGTTCCTTCTTTTTGCGACGGCATGCAGCTCGACCCACTTGCCTTGAAGTTTTCTTTTCTGCCAAAAGCTATACCTTAGAGTACCGTGTCGTGCCATCATTTCCAAGAATAGCGCATGGCAAGAGTCACTTTCCAAGTTCTTGCAGCGAAAGCTGAAGATTCCGACAGTTGACCCTTTCCTAGTTAAGCATTCTAACCGGGCCATTCAATGTTTAAGAATCGGCAAGAAAGGGAATTCGGCTTTTTATAGATATACGGACCCGTTTTACTCCATACTGCAAAAGTAGCTAATTATTTGTGTTCAAAACATTACCCAGCCGACATTTGTGATGCCGTATTGGGGACAGACACTTGGGGAGTGTCTGTCGAGTCTATGTTACAGCTGTACAAGGCGTTATTTATTGTATTCCCACGGTACAGCCTACCTGTATTATCTAACACGCACAAAACTAACCTGCGCACACTCTAAAACACTCAAGCCCGGGCTCTTAGTATATGCTTTGGTTTACCGCTCTGTGCATCGACGGCGGAAACCATTGTCTCCGCGCAGGATTACCTGATTATGACGCACATCATCATTGATATGCGTACGTACTCCAGACAACATACTGGGAACCTTTCCCACTACTTGGCGAGCCTCGCTGCTGAGAGACCTTGCAAAATATTTAGTGCTGTTATTTGTGCGTATCATGACTCTTTTATGATTTGTGGGGTTTAACGTCCCAACACCACAATATGATTAAGACAGACGCCGTAGTGGAGGGCTCCGGAAATTCCTACCACCTGGAGTTCTTTAACGTGCACTAAAACCTGAGCACATGGACCCACAGCATTTTCGCCTCCATTGAGAATGCAGCCGCTGCAGCTGGGATTTGATCCCGCGACCTGCGGGTGAGCAGCCGAGTACCTTAGCCACTAGGCCAACACGGCGGGGCATTGTGCATTGTTTACGTCAGGTTTTACGCCTGTGGAGAAATTGGTGTATCATCCGTGATGTCTGACCCTTGACAAGTACGTCTTACAATTCCAGGAATACAGAACAAATCAAATTTGCCTTCGTCAGCCCTAAAACAATTGAACCTGCACCTCTTGCACGAAATGTACAATAACCACGTGTACATATACAACGAAGGGTCAACCATAGCGTCCATTCTGGCGGCGCGGTGGTGATACCAGCTAGAGGAATCACCCTGCGAATCAAGCTGTCACGCATCACTACGTCTTCGGTGGCACAACTTGCGGCTTCGCGTGGTGCCCTAGAGTACATCATATTCGAAATACCGAGTAAATGGGCTGTATTTTCCGACTCGAAACCGGCTTTACAGACCATGCAGTCAGTCCTTCGGCGAGGTTGCCATTAACCCTTAACGCCTCG